GTTCTGACATTGAACCTCAGGATATTGTATGCAATGTCATTAATGGGACTAGATGGTATTTGCAGATACTGAGCAAAGTCATTGGTCCTATCAAGGCAGGATCTCTACTCTATGAGCCAAGAGTGCCATTTCATAACTGTTGAGACACAGTTGGGAGGGGTATGTACAACAATTAAGAACGTGGTCTTTGGTGCCTGACAGTTTTGCATCTGCATTCCAGAAACACCAATGAAAGTAGCTGTTCCACCTTGGGGAAATAGTTTTCACACCCTCAGCTTCCTTGTCTGCAAACTGGACTAATACTCTGTACTCATAAAGTCATTCAAAAGATTAAACGATTACATGCTATAACACAGATAAAGGTCTTAGTAGAGTGCTGCATGGTTATTAACTGCATAACCATAGCTATTCAGTATTTAGAAATCCCACTCCTTCAAATGTGTAGGTGTGTATGTGTTTTAAGTTTTTCTTGAAGTCCATAGAAAGTTTTCATTAATTTAAAATAAACCAAATAGGAAAGCCCTACTCTATTTTACAGATAAGCCAGTCAGGGAGTCATTTACTATTTCTCTTGATTTGTTGGCTTTGTATCCCACATTCACATTGGTAGTATTCTAATCCAGCCTCAAAGACTCTCATCCAGATAGTGAGGCAAGTTATTCCTTTCTCAAAACCACACAAGTCCGTCTAAACTGAGTTCCTGCTCTTCCTCTGTTTGATTTCTTAAAATAGTTTCTGAAGATTTTAACCACAACTGAATCACAACTAACCAGCCTGTAATTTCCTGGTATGTCCCTATGGCCTTTCTTTTCAAACAAAACACACACAAAATGGCATTACATTGGCTGGTTTCCAGTGCTTCGGGGTTTCGACTGGAGTAAGCTAGAAAACGTCTGTGAAAGCTACTCTGGTTTCTCTTTGTCCGTCTCTTGGAGAAGGCTCTGGTTGTTTGCAGCTTCATCATGATGTATTATCAAATTTTGGCACTTTTAATTTTGAGTTGTTTTTAGAAGAGTTTACCAAATACCATATCTCTCCACAGTTCTTTATTGTGTATCTTCCTTCTACTCTTGTATATCAGAAAATAAAGCCAGTTGGGCTAAGCATATAGACTAGAAAGAGAAAAAAACAAAACAAAACAAAAGAAAAGGCTGTTCTTTTATATAAAAGAGAAGCTATCTACAAATGTCCAAGAAAATACAGAATGGTTGTTAGAATTCATAAATTAAAAGCACAGTTAGGATATATTTAGAGTTTTTTCCCAAGAACCTATGCAAATCATCTGAATTCAACTCAGACATACGTAAGACTAGACTTAATTTAGCCAATATTTAAATGGTTAGCAACTTTTATATTGTGGCCATTTTTTGTCTTTTATTTTTGGATGGTGAAATGTTTTATTTCAGTTAAATTCTCAATGTAATGGAAGTATTTTGATTCACAATTAAATATGCTAGTTTTAAGTAAATGTTCATAATTAATATATAACATAAAAGTTGAAATTGAAGTAAAAATGCAAATGAAAATATAATATTTAGACAATGATTAAATTAAAACATGGATTGGAACAGAAACCAGTTTATTTTAAAATTGTAGTAAATATCATGAGTGTATATGTGCCTCATATATTGTTTCTGTAAATGTTTAATAAATGTTTGCTAAATTAAAAAAATGCTAAATTAATAAAATAAATGATAGCACTAAGATAAAAAATAAATATTAAGACAATAATGTGAAAACATTCATTTATGAACAAATATCCTCTTATTCAAATTTTAATATATAAAACAGTCAACTAATTAGGAATTATTGTGTGAGTTACATATTTAGAACTTCTGAAATAGTTATTGAAATACAGTATATTTTCAGTGTGTTTATCTGGAAGTAACGAGTAGGTGTTTTCAAATAGATAAATGTCTGCATGTGATTTCAGTTTATTTGCATTTAGAGGCTGGCATTTGTGTCCCAGAAATTCACATTCTTAGAAATATCTGTCCTTGTATTTTATGTAAGCTAACTAGCCAGCAAGCTTTCTTGCAAAGCATAAAGCAAAAGCAATGTCAAGCATCAGCCAGACTAAAGTGTTTATAAGTTACTAAAATTAGTGTAGTCTAATAATGTTATCTTTACTGCATTATTTGCCATTTTTAAAAAAGTTTCAATTGATTAAAACAGTACCAAATATATAGTAATAAATTCACTACATTTGTCCCATTGAAGAAAAATGGGTATTTAATCAATGGGTTGTTAGAAAAGTCATGATGCATTTTTGCATAGAGAAACATAGAATAAATATGTCATGATTTTTCTGATAATGCAATAGATAAGGAGATATCAAAATGTTTGTGAAAAATGTGGAATTAAAGTATGAGCCTATTTTTGTGCAAAATATCTTGAAATCCAAGCATAGTTTTTTTATAACGTGCATTTTCCATGAGCTTTCTGAAGACTCCTTATGTTAGTTACTTTTGCCATTACCTTCTCCCTAATAGTTTCTATAATTATTTGTTATGGATATTTTTAAAGCAATCATTCTTAAAAACACAACTCCAGAAGTTAAACATAAAAGATACAAAACACTGGATTGTACAGATATAAACAATATAATTATCATTTGAAAGAAAATATCTACATAGATTTGAATGTGGCATCACTTTGCTAAAAGTATTTTACAGTATTTCTCAGATGCAAATATGCATGTATGGAAAGTACACAGATTGATTTCCATAGGCAAATTAAACAAAACAATTCTCATGTGAAGAAATTATTAGATTAAATAGATTTCACGTTGAGGATATAAAGCTGAAGAATCAGTCATGCCCCTTGTATAAGAAATCTTGGACTCTTGCCCTGAGTTCAGGAGAGAGGAAGAGATTGGGTAAAGTCCTCTTTTCCATCTTTTTTTTTTTTAATCCTCATTTTCTAACCCACAAAATGGTGTTATTTTTACATACTTTCTATGTATTTTGCTTTTTAAAAATTTTGGCCAAACTTGGCTGAAAAGTATTAACCTCAATTGTTCTGACTGACATCTTGGGTAGCGTTGTTGAAATGAACACAGATTATATCATCCCACAAACAACTCCCTTCATCTTGCCTTAACCAAGAGTATTTTCTAGAGCATATTTCATTCCATCAGTTTTCAACAATTTATTTAGCACTTACTCATATGGTTGCAACTCAGATTTAGGGCTGGTGCTTTGGGAATCCCAAATAAGACATCAAATTAGATTATGTAATTTATATATATATATATATATACATACATATATAT